TGGGAGCCCAGCCCCTTAACCACTACATCAACTGCTGGCCCCTTCAGTATCTTTTAAAAAAATCTGCCAGAAAGGGAGCCAGGAAGTGGCATGGTGGATAAGGGTGCTGGACTCCAACTTAAATTAATTACTTAAATTACATAAGTAATTATTTACCCAAAAACAACTGTTACGTAGGCAGGTGGCATGGTGACTGAGGTACTAGTCTCCCACATGGTCAGCTGTAGTTCAAGACCTAGCAGCTTGCCTTTTCACTTTCTCTCTCTCTCTGTTCAAATTAAGAAATAATAATAATAAATTAAATTAATAATTATTTAGAAAAAAAAACCCTGTTTACATATATGTCTTCTAGGATAGGTTTCCTTTGAGGAATGAAAAATCATCCTCAGGTTGATTCTTTTTAAAAGACATTTATTTTATTATTATTCTTGCCATAGGACGGGTGTCACCACGTCCTATTTATTATTCTTCTTCAACTTGACCAGAGAGAAAGAGAAAGCAAGCCACCAGGTCTGAGATTCAAACTGCAGTCAGCCATGTGGGAGTCCAGCACCTTAACCACTACATCAACTGCTGGCCCCTTCAGTATCTTTTAAAAAAATCTGCCAGAAAGGGAGCCAGGAAGTGGCATGGTGGATAAGGGTGCTGGACTCCCACAGAGCTGACCACAGTTCGAGTCCTGGACCTGGCAGCTTGCTTTCTCATTTTCCCTCTCTCTCGCTCCATCCTTTTCTGGTCAAATTAAAAAAATAAAGAAATAAAGTTAAATAAAAAATAATTTTTAAGAAACTGCCAGGAAGCATGTGCAAATGCCAAAAAGAGACAGCAGGAGAGAGAAAGTACACCCCAATGGGGAATGGTCACACAGCAATTCCTTCTCCTGAATTTCTCCATCCAGTTGGGATTCAGGGCACACACGCACACATGCCTGGGATGTTTCTTACGCTACCGGAGGTTGGGGTTTGCACCACATGTTCGACATGGGATCCTGCTCCTCAACCATCCGGCCATAGAGTCAGACCTTTCGGTACCATCTAACTTGACCTCTTGGCAACATCTGATACTTTGGGTCCATCCCTTTTCCCAGTTTTCCCTGACTTCTGAAATACAGTAGCACTCACCTGGTTTTCTTCCCTTTCTGGATACTCCTCCTGGATCTTCTTTGCAGGTTCATCTTCTTCTACCCTGATCGTTAGGTATCCATGACTTTATACAAAGACCTCTTCATTCATGTATGAACATAGCTTTAATAATCCCTTATTTATAGGTGACTCATTAAATTGTATCTCCCTCCAAGGCCTCAACTGTGAGTTCTAGATCTCTACTTCCCTCTTTATAGCTCTTAAATGTCTCAAAGCACCTATAACTCATCGTGTATAAAACTGAACTTCTGGGGACCATCAGTGAGCGTAATGGCTATGTCGCTGGACTCCCATGTAGTAGACCATGGTTCAAGACCCAGACCCCATGGCTTAAACTCATGCCATGCGTGCCCAAGATCCCGAGAGGAGAATGGAGGAGAAGTGACTGCAGAGTGGCCATCCCCCCGAGGGATGATTTCTCGCTTTATGTCTGTCTGTCTTTCCAGCGAGCGCACATACCCTATAGCAAAATCCTCTTTTAAAAAAAAAAACAAAACTGAACTTTAGGGACCAACAGTTGGCATAATGGTTACGTTGCCATACTCCCATGTAGTCAACCACAGTTTGAGTTCCAGACCCAACGGCTTAAAACTCACACCCTGCGCCTGTGCGTGCGTACCCAAAATCCTGAGAGGAGAATGGAGGAGAAGAGACTGTGGCATGGCCATCCCCCCGTGGGGTGGGGGTGGGGGGCGTGATTTCTCGCTTTTTGTCTCTCTCTGGTAAGCGCATGCGCCCTATACCAAAAATCTCTCTTAAAAAACACTTGAACTTCAAAGTTGTCCCAATTCAATGAATGACAATGATCCAGTTATGCAAGCCAGAAACTGACAAGTTATCTTTTACATTTCTTCCCCACCCCCTTACCCTTATCCGTTTTATTTTCTAAGTAGATCTTGAATCTGTCCATTTTTCCCTATCTCCATAACCACTTCCCTACATTTCCTGCTTGGATTACTCTATTTCTCTCATTCACTTTGCTTCTTTGAATCCACTTTCCATAGCAACACTAGAATGAATCTTTGAAAAACTAAGGCTGATCAATTATGACTTGGCTTAAGTATTTCGATGGCTACCCACTTCTTTTAGCCTAAAGATAAAACTCCAAGGCCCTGCCTAGCCTGACTCCAGCCTCACTTCATACCCCTCATGCTCTTCCTCCAGTTCCATGAAAAAAAGCCATCTCTCTTAGAATACTGACTTTCTGCAAATGCTATGTCCCATTTTAAAAAGTGCTTCCCTGACTCCTGATCTCATGCATCAATTATCACTGCCTCAGAAAAGTCTACCTCTATTTCCCTCACTAAAACCCTCCTTTAATAAGCATTCACGGTATCAAATACAAGTTTCCTAGCACTTATCCAGTTTCAGTATTAGGTTTTGTGTGCTTAATGTTTGTTTCCATACCACACTGTGGCTCTAAAAGGTCAAAGACCAGGTAGGTCTCACTGCACTCCACCACTGTATCCCTAACACTGGTACACAGCAGATGCTCAGTATATATTTGCTGAATGTAAGAATGGAAGGGAAAAAAATCCAGATTCCCTAAAACTACAATCACTGAAGTTAGGTGAGCTCTAAAATCCCATTTTTGGTTTAAGTTTTTACTAACAGGTGCGTGTGTTAGCCAGAGACACAGAGAGGAGAGAGAGAGGGAAAGTGAGAAATCAACAATCCATGGAGGATGACCACACCACAATCCTTTCTCCAATCTCCTCTCAGGATTTTAGGTATGCACACACACTTAGACCCAGAATGATTTTTCAGGTCTGGAACTTGAATCCACAGTCAGTTATGTGGGATCCAGCACCTAAACCTTCATGCCACCTGCTGGCCCCTGAAATTCAGTTCTGAATTTCTATGACCAACATAAAACCAAGGTATGGTTTTATGATGACTCCTGATGATGACCCACTGTGTCTTCAAGTAACCTATGAAAAGCTTATTTTCCAAAATTGGAAAGGCCCTTGGCAGTCACTTAATCTAAAGTAGCTTCCTAGAGTCAGCAGATGGCATGGCGGTTAAGGTGCTGGACACTCCCACGTGGCTGACCGTGGTTCGAATACCAAATCTGGTGGCTTGCTTTCTCACTTTGTTTCTCTCTCTGGTTAGTGTATGTGTCCTATAGCAAAAATTAAATAATCCTTTTTCTTTTTCAATAATTATTTATTTAATTCTGTTCATTTATTTTTTTTTCTTTTTTCTTTTAAAATTTGACCAGAGAGAGGGAAAGACAGAAAGCAAGCCACCAGGTCCAGGACTCAAAGAGTGGTCAGTATGTGGGAATGTGCACTGCCTTAACCACCACACCATCTGCTGGTCCTTTATATACTTATTTTCATTTTATCAGAGAGGGACAGATAGAGAACGCAAGCAACCAGGTCGGGGACTCAAACTGTCTTCAGCCTTGTGGGAGTCCAGCACCCTTAACCTCCACACCACCTGCCAGCCCCTAAATAATCCTTTTAAAAAGAGACATAATAATAATAAATAATGGGACCAGCAGGTGGCATGATAGTTAGGGGTGCTGGACTCCCACATGGCCAACCACGGTTCAAGTCCTGGACCTGGCAGCTTGCTCTCCCGCTTTCTCTCTTTCTCACTCTGTCCCTCTCTGCTCAAATTAAAAATAAATTAAATATGTATGAGTTAAATAAAATAGAAAAAATAATAAATAAAACTAATTAATTCTTTTTTATAAAAAGTAGCTTCCTGACCACAGGAAGTATATTTTGCTCTATTCTAGTGAGAATACTTCAGTAAGTGCTTTGGGAAGAAGTGGGGTTTGGACCTTTGGGTGTGAGGACCAGACAAACTACATTACGTGTGCCAGGAACCCGCCAAGTGTGAGGTGCCGCTTATCAGTAAACTAATTTTCCTTAGTATTTGTGGCAAGATGTCCACTACACTTCTTCCACTGAGACTGTGTCAACGTCTTCCTCTAGGTCTCAACTCCCAGAGAAGCGAAGGCCGCAAACACATCTACCGTCCGGACCACAGCTGTTTCCCAGGCCCGGCCTCCACGTCCTTTTTCCAAGCTGTCCAGACTGAGGCACGGGAGTCATACCAGGCTGACCGGAAGTCCCCTCGCGCCCCCAGAAACACCAAGCTCCCATCCTGTTCATCCTTGCCAGCGTCGCTCTGTCCTCCGACCTCATTCACTCGCCCCGCTCCCCGCACGCCTTCTGCGTTTGCAGGCCTCCGACAACGTAAACGTGTAAGGACCAGAAACCTTTCCCTCCCGCTAAAGGGCCGGGTTTAGCGACAGGCCGGCCCAAGAGCAGAATCAGAGGTGGACGTCCCGCCCGCAGCTCGAGGCCGCTCCGGGCGCGCCTCAGTCCTGGCCTCCCGCCTCCCCACCTCCCTGCCACCCCCTAACCCCGCCCTCTGG